ACCCAAAAAAAAAAAAAAAAAAAGTGGGCAAAGGACACGAACAGACACTTCTCAAAGGAAGACATGCAAACAGCCAAAAAACATATGAAAAAATGCTCACCTTCACTAATCATCAGAGAAATGCAAATCAAAACTACAATGAGATACCACCTTACACTGGTCAGGTTGGCTAGCCTTAAAAAGTCAAAAATGGCTATGCTCAATGGCTGTGCTCCCAAATTCCAGCACTTTAGGAGGCTGAGGCGAGTGGATTGCCTGAGCCTGCGTGTTCAAGACCAGCCTGGGCAACTTGGCGAGACCTTGTTTCTACAATAAATCAAAAATTAGCCAAGTGTGGCAGCATGCGCCTGTAGTTCTGGCAACTTGGAAGGCTGAGGCAGAAGTATCGCCAGAGCCCAACTGGTCGATACTGGGGTGACTGTGAGTGTGCCATTGCACTTCAGCCTGGACGACAGAGTAAGATTCCAATTAAAAAAAAAAGGGGGGTGGTCAAAAAACAACAGGTGTCAGTGAGGCTGTGGAAAAAAAAGGAATGCTTCTACACTGTGGTGGGAATGCAAGCTAGTTCAACCTTTGTGGAAAGCGGTGTGGTGTTATCTCAAAGAACTAAACACTGAGCTGTCATACAACCCAGCAATCCCACTCTGGGAATATACTGAGAAGAACATAAATTGCTTTACCAAAAAGACACCTGTACATGCATGTTTATTGCAGCTCTATTCACAATAGCAAAAACATGGAGCCAACCCAAATGCCCATCAAAAGTGGACTGAATAAAGAAAATGTGGTACATATAAACAATGGAATATTACACAGCCACAAAGAACAAAAATCATGTCCTGTGCCGCAACATGGATGCAGCTGGAGACCATCATTCTAAGTGAACTATCACAGGAACAAAAAAACTGAATACTGCGTGCTCTCACTCAGAAGCAGACCCTAAACACTGGACACATGAGCACAAAGGCAGGAGTAACAAATGCTGGGCACTGCTAAGGGAGGGAGGGGCAATAAGGGGCACACAACCACCCACTGGGTACCGTGTCTACTTTCAGAGGGAGAGGGGGACCACTAAACAGAAGCCTCATCTGCATGCAATTTACTTATGTAGTAAATCCTCACATGTACCCCACAACTCTAAAATAAATAAAATTAAATTAAAAAAAGAAAAATAGAAAGTGAGGAAGAGCCAAGAAAAACAAGCAATAAATAGATTTAGAAGGGGGAAAAAGATGAAGAGAAATACAAAGCCATGCTCAGGAAAGAAGCAGTGAGAGCATGTGCATTTCATCGGGAAAAAAATGGTTAATTCTGAAATCATTAAAAAGTCTTAAGAAAAATGTTTTAAGATAAAAAAAGAATGAGCACCAAAGAGGCACCTCCTCTGGGTGGGACATCCCTGGGCTAACTGATATGTGCTTGTGGGTTCACCCAGCTTTCATAATAGCCATCACATCAACGACTTTCACGTAGTTTTAAAATTAGTTGAAAAGGCACCTTCCTTGGAGTTGGAGGTCGGGGTCCAGCTGCTCCCCCAGGGGCTGTTAGCTTCCTTCTTTCTGAAGGGAATGGGACCCATCGCAGGTGGGAAAGGCGCCAGTAGGCAAACACGATGGGGGTGGGAAAGCCCACCCAGGTTGGTGAGCAGGAAGGGTCTGGGCTGAGCATGGCTGGACCAAGTCTAGACCTCCCTGCCTCCAAGTCCAGGATTTATTGCTGCCCGCTTGGTTGGGATTGGTTTAGGGGATGGGGGTGCCCTGACCTGAAGATCTTCAGGATTATAGATAAGTGAGATTTGGAGAGCAGATGATGCAGAATGACCCAGACAGGGACAGACTCAGAGACATCAGAGAACAGGATTAGGACTCAGACTTGTCCCTGAGCCCTTGTTCCTGGGTGGTTAACTCCAAGTCATAATGAAGACACATACACCTCTGTCATTT